CCTCCTGCTCATCCTCGTGCTCCTCCTCCTCCTCCTCCTCCTCCTCCTCCTCCTCCTCATCCTCCTCCTCCTCCTCTTCCTCCCCCTCCTCCTCCTTCCCTCTCTCTCTCTCTCGTTTTCCATCCACATCTACATCCTGTATCGGAATACCAAACTATTTACAAAGTGTCGTGCCCCTCCCACCCCTCCAGGAAGGCCCCTCCAGAGCGAGGAGGGTATTCGAGAACCATGTGATGCATCAGGTTTCAGGCCCTCCCACTCCTCCAGGGAGGCCCCGCCTGAGCGAGGAGGGGGTTCGGAAACCATGTGATTTATCAAGTTTCGTGCCCCTCCGACACCTGCAGGGAGGCCCCGCCTGCGCGAGACTATTCGAACACAATGTCAGTTATCAGGTTCCGTGCCCCTCCCACTCCTCCAGGGAGGCCCTGCGTGAGCGGGGAGGGCATTCGAACATCATGTGATGTATCACGTTTCGTGACCCTCCCACTCCTCTGGGGAGGCCCCGCCTGAGCGAGGATGCTATTCGAAAACCATGTTATTTATCAGGTGTCGTGCCCCTCCCACTCCTCCAGGGAGGCCCCGCCTGAGCGAGGAGGGCATTCGAAAACAGTTTGATGTATCAGGTTTCGTGCCCCTCCCACTCCCACTCCTTCAGGGAGGCCCCGCCTGAGCGAAGATGCTATTCGAACACCATGTTGTGTATCAGGTTTCGTACCGTAGCCATTTTGGCTCAAGCCATTTTGGCTCAAGTTCCCAACCCCCGTGGGGGGGGTTGGGAACTTGCCGCGGCCGTGGGCTCGAGGGCCCACCAGCAATTTTGGCGCTGAGCCGCGCGCGCCGCGGCGCGGCGCATGCAGAGCCTGCCCGGGGGGTGCTGGTTGTGCCTCCCCAGCCTTCCGCCAGGCCTGGCCTGGCACCTGGCGGTCGGCCTTGCGCCGCCGATCCCTGCAGCTCCGGGCGTGTGGCAAGACCCCGGCGATGCCGCCGAAGGGGCGGGGGAGGCTGCCGTGGGGGCGGCAGGCGGCGGCAAGGGCGAAGGCGCGCCGGGGCAAGGCGGCGGCACCGCGAGGCCGACCTCCCCGCGAGGTCCGGCTGGCGCACCCGCCCGGCGGGGGGGCAGCAGCGGCGGCACCGGCGGAGCCGGCGCGCGAGGGGTGGGCTCCGGGGCGGGCTCCAGCAACCCCGCCGAGGCGTCGACGCCAGGGGGACGGCTCCTGCAGGAGAGCCCCGAGCCGGCCGACCCGCCGTGGCAGGAGCCCAAGCGCCGCTTCCGGCCAGCCCCGCGGCCAGGCTGGACGGGGCTCGGGGGCGACGCGGGAGCTTGGGCGGCGCTCCAGGAGCCCGCCGGCGAGGCGCCGGAGCAGCCTTGGCCGCTCGGGGTCGGCGAGAGCGCCGCGGGAGCGGCACCTGAGGCGCGCGCGGCGGCGCAGCCGCAGCCGCAGCCGCAGCCGCGGGGCCGCTTGCCCCGCGGGCACGACCGGCGCCGCTCCCCCGCGCGGCCGGGCGGGCCCGCTCGTGGCCTGCCGCGCACAGCGCCCCCCCCCCTGGGCGGGCGCGCCGGCCCGCCCCGCAGGCGGGGCCGCCGACGGCAAGGCCAGCAGCGGGGCCAGCAGCGGAGCCAGCGGCGGACCGCGCGGAGCCGCCGCGCCGCGAGGAAGAGGACGAGGAGGACTGCGGCAGCTACTCCTACGAGACGGACGAAGAGGTCGACTCAGCGGGCGCGCAGGCAGCCACGGCACCGGCTGCCCCTCCAGCGACGCTGAGCACAGCAGCGCCTCGGGCGACCGAGCCGGGCGCAGCAGCGGCGGCAGCGGCAGCGGCGGCAGCTGCCGAGCTGGGCGGCGGCGGCGGCGACGCCCGCCGCGCGACACCCGCCACCGCGGAGGCCCCGGGGCGACGGACGCGGCCAGCCCAGCCCGGCCCGCGTGCGACGGCGCCGAGCCCGCCCGGCCCTGCAGCGCCGGCAGCGGCCTGCCCGGCGGGCCCAGCGGCGACGGAGCAGGGCGGGACGCCAAGCGCGGAGCTGGTGACCCTGGCGCTTCAGCGGGCGGGGCTCCAGGGGCCTGCGGGCTTCGTGGTAACGAGCCTCACGGAGGGCCAGCTCCTCATCCGCTGGCGCGGGCCGGGGGAGGCCAAGGCCCAGGGCCTGTGAGCCCCTGCCGTGGCGACGCCGCCGCGACCACTGCTGACCGGCCGGACCCTCCGGCGACGGTGGGCCTGGATGCGGGCGACTTCCCCATCGAGGAGGAGTACGACGCGCTGGACGAGCCCGCCCTGCTGCTCGAGCGGGCAGCCACGCCGCCGCCGGCGACCTGGCGGACGGCGCTGCGCACGCCGGACCGCGCCTGGGCCGACGCCGTCGACGGAGTCGATGGCGGCCTCGCGGTAGACACGCCGCCGCGCGCGGGCGGCGCCGCTGCGGCAGGCCGCGCGACCGCGCGAGGCAGGGACGCCAGCAGCGACGGGGAGACCGGCTGCGGGAGCTCGGCGCCGCGCCGCCGCCGGCGCGGGCGCGGCCGCTGCGGCCCGGGTGGCGACTTGACAGCCCTGGCGGCGTCCAGCGGCGAGGCGGCGGGCGGGGCTGCGCGGGCGGCGGAACGGCCCGCGGGGCCAACTGGCGCCGGCGGTGGCCCGGTTGCCGGAGGCGCGGCGGCCCGCGGGGCCACCGCGGCGGGCGCGCCCGGCAGCGACGGTATACTCCGGCTGCCGGCGGGGGCGCCCCGGACGCCACCGCCGCACGCGCCGCGCGCCTCTGGGCAGAGGTGGCTTGGCCAACCTCACGCGCGAGGACCAGGCGGCCGGACTGCGAGCGCGCGCGGACGCGTGGCGCAAGGTCCCGGGAGCAGCGCAGGGGGCGGCGCTCCTGCTCGACGCGGCCGCGGAAGACCCGGCCGCCCTTGGGCCGGCGGCGCTGCTCGCCTTCGGCGAGGCGTCACGCGCCTTCTAGCTGGAGGCAGTCGCGCGGCGACGGTGCTCCGGCCGCGCGTGGGGTGCGCGCGCCCCGCAAGCCGGGGCGCGCTGAGAGGCGGGCTTGGCCGCGCCTAGGCTGCTCGCTGCTGCTGCTGCTGCTGCTCGCTGCTGCTGCTGCTGCTGCTGCTGCTGCTGCTGCTGCTTTCTCCTCTCCCCTTCCCTTTCCCCTTTGCTTTCCCCCTTTCCCCTTAAGTCGCCACGGGGCGCACCCCTCTTCGGCTGGTAAAAAAAAATGTTTCAGGTTTCGTACTCCTCCCACTCCTCCAGGGAGGTCCCACCTGAGCGAGAAAGGTATTCGAAAACAATATTATTTATCAGGTGTCGTGCCCCTCCGACACCTCCAGGGAGGCCCCGCCTGAGCGAGGAGGGCATTCGAAAATAATGTGATTGATCAGGTGTCGTGCCCCTCCCACGCCTCCAGGGAGACTCCGCCTGAGCGAGGATGGCATTCGAAAACAATGTTAGTTATCAGGTTTCGTGCCTCTCCCACTCATCCAGGCAGGTGCCGCCTGAGCGAGGAGGCTATTCGAAAACCAGTTGATTTACCAGGTGTCGTGCCCCTACCACTCCTCCAGGGAGGCCCCGCCTGAGCGAGGATGCTGATCGACAACCATCTTGTTTATCAGGTTTCGTAACCCTCCCACTCCTCTGGGGAGGCCCCGCCTGAGCGAGGAGGGCATTCGAAAACCATGGTATTTATCAGTTTGTGTGCGTCTCCCACCCCTCCAGGGAGGCCCGCCTGAGCGAGGAGGGTATCCGAAAACCCTATTATTTATGAGGTGTCGTACCCCTCCCACTTCTCCAGTGAGGCCCCGCCTGAGTGAGGAGGGTGTTCGAAAGTAATGTGATTGATTCGCTGTCGTGCCCCTCCCACTCCTCCAAGGAGGCACCGCCTGAGTGAGGAGGGGAGTCGAACAACATGTTATGTATCAGGTTTCGTGCCCCTCCCACTCCTCCAGGGACGAACGTGCTTCCTGAACATCCGTCGTCGTCCTCCCTGCTGCTCCCCCTCCTTGCAATCGTCTGCCACGAAGCCCTCAACATCCTTATGTAGGGGAACTCCGTTAGCATACGTATGTTTGTTTCGTATATATATATATCTCTCGCTCTCTCTCTCTCTCTCTCTCTCTCTCTCTCCCTCTCCCCCTCCCTCTCTCTATATGTACACATATATCGCACCCCTTTTTCGCACTCCTCCCCCTCTCACTCCTACTGTTCCTCGTCTTTATTCGACTCCTGTTTGTCCCCACCGGCTCCTCATATTCGTCCCGCACTTCTTGTCGTCGACGATATCCTCCTCGTCATGTTTCTCCTCCCCCTCCACATCCTCCCTCCGCCTTTGTCCGCGACCCGCTTCCAGTACTGTTCACGGGTGCGTGGTCGACCTCGCAAGGGGGCTCGCCCTTTTTGGACTCTCCTCCCGCGCCGAGGCTGAGAGCCTCGGGCAGCGGGTTATCGATAGGAGGACACGGGCGGCGAGCGCCTCCGAAGTTGGAGAGTTCAGCGAAGTTAACTTGTCTGTTTGTTTTGTTGCAGATCGAAGTGTAAGGCCTCCTCGGCTGGCTGTGGGTATCCCTTTTCGTTCGAGCTCCTCCTCCTCCTCCTCTTCTCCTCCTCCTTCTCTTCTCTTCTCTTCTCTTCTCTTCTCTTCTCTTCTCCTCCTCCTCCTCCTCCTCCTCCTCCTCCTCCTCCTCCTCCTCCTCCTCCTCATGGTCCCCTCTGCTCTTCCATTTCGTCCTAAAAATTTGTCCCTCCTTCGCATCGCCGCTCCCCTCCTACACCGTCCCCTAGACGAATTTCCCTCCTCTCATGATTTGTTCCCTCCCCCCACTCCCGCCTCAAGCATCTCCTCCTGATACACATGCTCATCCTCCTCCTGCCCCTCCTCACCGTCCCCTCGATCCACAGATCCCTCCTTCTCCGCCACCTCCTCACCGTCTTTGCCTCGTCTCATCCCTCCCTGCCTACTCCGACACCTTCTCTTACAGGAGAAATGAGGACCGCAATGGCAGGTAGACTGGCGGCATTGATGTGTTTTCCACAGGGCGGCGGTCCTCACTTATGCGTCGCAGCTCAGCCGCTGCTGGCATCGCGTCGTTGCACGTTGCTGGAATACGCAACTCGTCGATAATGGAAAACGGCAGCCGTGCGCCAGCAGGGAGAACCGGAGGGAGGCGACAATGAGAAGGATGAATCGATGATCCTCACAACGTGGTTTAGCGCCAACGTGTGTATCTCCACCGAGGCCCTTCTGTACGACGCAGGCGATGTGATGATCTGCGGGTGTGGCTGAACGGGGTAAACACACATTTGGCTACCCAACGTCCTGAGGATCATCGAACGAAACGAAGGGGAAGGAAGAGGAAGGAAGCAAGCACGGAAGAGGAGAGATACGGAAGACAAGGGGCGGGAGGACGGGGAGCGCGCAGCTGGCCGCGCACGCGGGCGAGCGCGCTAGCCATTGAGCATCGTCCCCCCGTTCACGCAGTACCTCAGCGGCACCCGTCCGCGGGCCGGCCTCTCGCTCATCGCGCCTCTCCTCCCCCACGCGCAGCAACCCTGGCATCCGAGCGAGAGAGAGGCAGGGCGGCTTCTCCGCCGGCGGCGCCGGCCGGTGGGCCGCAGTCGGGGGGTCACGCTCAATCCAGACGGGACGCGCTGAGTCGACTCGACTCGACCACCTTGCGCGGCCGCCTCCGCTGGGCCGGAGAAAGAGCGGGTCGGGACAGGGCCGCGCTCGCTGCTGGTGCCGCTGCTGCTGCCCCCGTTGCCGCTGCCGCCGCTCTCCAGTTCCACTTTGAAGGCCCTGGTGGGAGGAGGAGGAGGAGGAGGAGGAGGAGGAGGAAGAGGAGGAGGCGGAGGAGGAGGAGAGGAGGAGGAGGAGGGAGGAGGATGGAGGGAGGGAGGAGGGAGGGAGGAGGAAGGGGAGGAAGGAGGAGGAGGAGGAAGAGGAGGAGGAGGCGACCAACGACCGCACCCGACCGGCACGCGGCCGTGGCTCCGAGGCCCACGCGCGGGCCCCAGCCCTCCGAGGCAGAAGCCCGATCGCTGCGTGGCCTGCTGGTCGGCGGCCGGCGACCGCACCCGACCTGCGCGCGACCGTGGCTCCGTGGCCCGTCAGAGGAGGAGGAGGAGGAGGAGGAGGAGGAGGAGGAGGAGGAGGAGGAGGGAGGAGGGAGGAGGAGGAGGGAGGAGGGAGGAGGAGGGACGAGGAGGGAGGAGGGAGGAGGGAGGGAGGAGGGAGGAGGGAGGAGGAGGAGGAGGAGGAGGAGGAGGAGGAGGAGGAGGACGGGGCGCCTAAGGCCTTCGGAGAAACCCTCCACCTGGGCCCTGGCATAGCTCACTATACGGGGCTCCCAGGTGGCGGACCTCGGAGACCCTGCACCCCCCAAAAACGTGTTCCTCTCCTGCCGGGGCACACCGCCGTCCTTCCGCCAGCGGAGGCGGCCTCGCTATATCGCTTCCGCCGACCCTCCGCCGTCCTTCCGCCGCCCTCCTCCGAGGAGGAGCTGCCAGGCTCCTCCGATCCTCGACGGCGGGGCCCCGTCTGGCACGCCCCCGATGGGCTCCGAGCAGCTGGGGGCACGGGGGAGGCCCGCGCCGCCCCGTCGACGCCTCGGCCACGCCAGCGCCGCCATGCAGGCGACGCTGGCGCGGAGGAGCGATCGGGCCCCACGTCGAGCCACCTCCCCGATGCATCGGCGATATGCGGCGCGGCGTCAAGCGGATGTCGAGGTCCCTTGCGTGCTTGCCGCCCGTCCTTCTCGTGGCCGTCGGCTGCGGGGGAGAGGTGGAGAAGTGCGTCGTTGTTTGCGGCCTGGCGCGGTGCTAAAGTTCTCCTTCGGCCAGGAATCCCCCCCTGGAATGTATTTATGTTCGGTGCTGTGTGAACGTTAGGTCGGGCATGTCCTCCTACAGGCGGCTGTTGGGCAGAAGTTGAACAAACATGCCTACCAACATTTTCTTGTAAGAACAAATCGCCCGCATATTTTTTGACTGTTTGGGAATGCTCCTCTCGGGGATGGACAGACCCCCCTTTAGTAAAACGTGGTTCAGTGAAACCGACCTGAGGCCCAAACCAGGCGGGCGCAAGCCTGAAAAATAACGGCCACGGCGCCCTCTCGAGAACCGAAAACGGACAATTCACCAATCGACGTGTCACTGTTGGGGGTTCTGTCCACCCTCGATTCTCCCCGGGGCCTGCTTCTCTGGAGGCCTCCTGGAGGGGGTCCGAGTAGATGGGGTCGGAGGGCTTCGCCGCATCGCCGATGCGCTGGCGGCGTCAGCGATGCATCGGCGACGTCGGCGTGGAGGACATCGGGCCCCACATCGAGCCGCACCGCCGACGCATCGCCGAGGCATCGCCGATGCATCGGCGATGCGGCGCGATCCTCCGACCCCGTCCAGGAAGCCCAGCTTGTCGCCCCGAGCAAGTTGTTCCAGGAGGGGAAAAAACACACGGACACAATGAATCGTCGACCCCCAAGACAAGCTGGGAACATGTGGGAAGTGGGGGGGGGGAAGACGAACACCCAGAAGATATGGAAAAATATGGGGAATCCTGGGGTTTGTGTGTATCTGTTTGTGTGTCCTTGGGCCCTCTTTGGTTGCTGCACGGTCGGAGCAACCGGCGAGGGCCCACGAGAAGGCCTCTCGGACACTGCCAGGCACACCGCTCGCTGCGTTTTCCTGGCCACGGCGCGAGCTGCTCGGCTTCCCCCGGGGCCGCAGGCGACCCGAGGAGGAGGCGGAGGAGGAGGCGGAGGAGGAGGCGGAGGAGGAGGCGGAGGAAGAGGCGGAGGACGAGGAGGAGGAGGAGGTGAGATGAGATGAGACGAGAGCGGGAGACGTCCAAGCCGCCAACCGCCGAGATGAAAACGAAAACGAATTACCCTTCCTCACAATCCTCGGGGGCCCCGCCCGCGTCCTGCCCCATGCCGAGGGCGGCGCGCGCCTGGGCCTCCCAGAACGGGAGGGTCTCGAACGAGACACCGAAGCGCGCGAGCAGGACACCTGGTGTCCAGCAGGGGCGCCACGGCGGTCCTGGTCGGAAGACGGGATGGGCAGACGGCGCTGCGGGCCTCGGGCGCGCAGCGAGGATGGTGGAGGCGAGAGACAGGAGATCGGACGGGGTCGGGATCTCCAACTCACCCAAAGACCAGCCCGAATACTTGGACAGCCACCTGGGAAACTTGCGAGCCAACAGTCGGGCCTTCTGCTGCCTGAGACCCTTGCCCGCTTGGGCGGGATGGCAAGCCTGCGAGAGGGCCCTCACATTGCCCCAAGCAAAGGCCCCACACGAAATACAACAGATGAGCCTGTGGCCAGCGATGACGCTGGCTCCAGTCTCGTTGAACACGCTGGTGGCTCTCAGGCAGTGCCCAGTTAGCTGCACCAAAACTCCAAGCTCGGGGTCCTGGGGGCCCTGGGAGACATCCGAGAGGACCGCTCTAAAGCGCACCCAAGCACGGGGGCAGGCGGGCTGCCGAGCAGGCCTTCTGCTGCCCCTAGGCGCAGCGGGAACCTCAGGGAGCCCCTGGGAGTCCACCCAGCCCCTTTGAGACATGAGCACTTCCTGCCGCCCAGCCCACTGGCCCACCTCCCGACCCAACAAGCTGAGCCCACGGACCTGGCTGGCGGCCTGCTGCACAGACGGATGCTGGGCTGCTCCCCGCTTGGCCAGGACATCTGCTATAGCATTCGCTTTCCGTTCCCACGGAGCAGACATGCCCAGTGCCAGGTCAGCCTCCGAGAGGTGTGCTTTCGTTTTGAAGACGGGAAGCCCTTCCTCGAACGCAGCATGGATCCGAGACCACATGTGGGCCTGAGGGCTCTGCGCTGAGACGGACGCCACACGAGCTCGAGCAGCTGCCACCGATCCCTCGCAGTCGGACCAAATGCCTTCGACCTCATGCGGGACCGTGAGCTGCGGCAGCATATAGAAGGCGTAGTCCTCTCCGTCTCGCGCCCACTGTAAGGGCGAGAGGTCCCATGGGACAGGGCCGAAGGCCGCAGCGACCAGAGATCCCTCCGAGTCGACCTGCACCACGCTCCATCCAGCCCTACGGAGCGCCTCGTCGGACGGGTGCAGGGCCGACCCATCTGTAAAGAGGCGGCCTCTGAGCATCCCGTCCTCAGGCTTGTGAATCCACAAAATCTGGCACTCACTCGAGCGGAGCGGAGGAGGGACGAGCTCACGAGGAAAGGGGAAGAGGCCATTGGCAAAGAGCTCCGCATCTCCGCACCAGGAGCGAACTAGGCGTGCAGCCTGCCGACATTCGTCCGAAAGAAAGTGCCTGCGGTCCTCTTCCCAAGCTTCGCAAACAAACCGACGGTGAAACACGGTCCCAGGCTCCCCTTGACACAGCAAACATAACGGCGACGTAGCGAAGCCGTGCCGATGTAGCCTCTCCTGAGGCCAATGGGTGCCCGAGACCGCCGCTCTAAACGAGTTTTGATGCGCTCGGGTCCAGGTGTCGGTCGTCCTGCTTAGGAGGCCCTCAGCAGGCTGCCAAAAAATCGGACGGCACCAGGTGCTGGATCCAGCACGAGAGCTGAGGGCTCGGTAATCCGACATCTCCCTGGCAGCCTTTCCTGCCAGGTCGGCCACAACGCGCGGGGCTAGGCGTAGCAGATCGATCTGCTCACCTGTCTGTAGAGTGACCGAACGTGCCGAGTGTGCTGTCCAGCCCAAGTCACCACACGCCAGAACGTACACGTGAGCGGGCGAAGTCGCCCGAGACCAGGGTCTGCTTGTGTTGGCCAGCACACGCACGGCATCTTCGAAGGTGGCCTGCAAAATCTCGAGCTTGGGGGTGGCCTCCCAGAGGGCCCTGGCCCATTCAAAGATAACCTGGCGGAAATACAAAAGCACAGGGTCGACCTTCCTACCGAGCTTAAATGAGCGCAGCTTGAGGCCCACCGAGGCACCCCGCTTCATGGGAGCAAGGGCCAAAAGGGCCTGCTGACGGACTCTGTTGAGGGAAGACCACGGGAGCCCCCTAACAGCACATCCCCAAAGAGCGGAGGCTTGGGGGCCCGCACGCTGAATGTGGCCAACAGGGGCGCCAGCCCTCCTAAGACTACGGAGCCTCGCAGAGCGCCTGATACAGAGCCCCACCCTCTTGGAGGCTATGGGGGCCAGCCTAGACGAACTCACTTGCCAATCCGTGCCGAGGCTCCTGATGACTCCTCGGCGTTCAAAGGACATGTGCCACCTGCTCAGCAATCCATGTGCAACTTTTTTAGACGACGCCAGGAACTTGCATTTTTTCTCAGACAGCACAAGGCACAGCTCGCGCAAGCCCCCGATGAGCTTGCTCCCGACCTCGCCCAGCTGGGAGACGACGTGGAAGCCCGTGCCCAGGGACTGCGCGCTGATGTCGTCTATGACGTTCCGAATGTGAACTGATGGATGAGCTGCCGCCAGCGTCGTGAGAAGCCTGTAGACCAAGACCCTCGCCAGCGATGTGGCTAGTGAACAACCCGCCA